TTTGTCCTGATACGAGGCATACACAATCCCCTCAGTCTTCTCCCTTCATGTAGATTCGAGTAGCATTTGTGTGGATTGGTGTATTTGACTTTATCGTCTACCTTTTATTCTATTTAGCACAATGTCATGCCATTTGTTTGCAGTAAAATATTTTTGTTTGTCATATAATTCCAAAAAATAGTACTGCCAAACATAATTTACATCTCAAGGATATAACAACGTGCAATGGTAAATTCAAACATAATTAAACAACTACTAATGAAAATGGTTCAAAGAAACAGGAAAAACTGAAAGACATCAATGTGACTGGCTCCAATGATAAACTAGTTCATTATACTCCTTATGCAACTCATCGCCATAGTCGTCATGGGTCAACCGCAGCCTATTGATTGCTTTAGCACAGAGGTCAGACCACTGACCTGTTCACTACATTAACGTAAAAATAAACAGTATCAATAATTATATTATAACATTTAATATAAACTTAATCATGATAACTTTTAAACGACTTACGTAATCAACATTGGCGCACGATCGAATCACGGTGTCCATTGAAGAACCCTCATTCTCGGGCAGAAGATTAGGATGGGAATAACGGCAGAATCATTCGAGATAACCATCAGCAAATATTGCCCTTGCGGATCGAGTGTACGAGCTGAGGTGAAGGCATCCTGATTCCGGGAATCTAATCCAAGCATTAGCTGCAGCCACCTTAGAAAGCTCGACCTTGTATGGTTCGCTGCTCATCGGCCCTCGATGAATGTTGCGGTACAACAATCGGCCTAGGGACTACCATCACAAAACCGAGATGTCGTAGCACGCGCCCTGGCTTGTATGGCTCAACAAAGTTCCTGAAAGCGATACATCCGATGTAAATTATTTTAGGCACAACCTTGTGCAACTCCTTACCGAATGGCACCCACACCATCTACAAATGTATACACTTGTTATAGTTATTCATCAATAATTACTGGACATTATAGAAAATAACCAAATCCAAAGTACAAGTTACATCATCCGTGGATAACTTGTCAAGGTCCTTGCATAACTTCTTCATTTGCGGCTCTCACTCTACAAAAGTAGACGAGGGTTGTTTCCACACTCTTGCTCTGGGATCCGTGCCCACCTTGTGTGGGTTATGAGGTCGGAAGATTGGGAAACTCATGTATCCAAGCTAGCAATAGGGTCACACGACTCCCCACCTGCTTAACCCCACCTCTATTAGCAATCCTCAGTTGACGATAAAGGTATGCTAGAGTGGCCGATGCCCAGGGTCGCTGTGGAGCACCATCAAGATCATCAAAAACCTCGTACAACAATTGTCCATGCACTCTACCACCTCCACTCTTATCAACAAACAATGTAGCACTCAACATCACATAACTAATAAATATTAATTTGAATTTTCACACATATATTCAAACCTGTTACTACTGTAGCAACCCTACAAATATTGTTCCAGTGTCGCTGCAGCCTCCGACAAAGGGAATATGAAGTCGTGGAACTCGGGGGGGGGGGAGGGACATGCAGTAGGGTGAAGGGGGTGGGGGAGTCTAGCACTTTGTGAATAAGAAAAACTGTTGACAAACTCACCTTGCTCAGTCTCATCATCTGATTCATCTCTCTGGACAACTCGCGACTCGAACGAGGGTGTCTGATGATGGAGAAGGGCTCCAACCCTATGTCCATAACTACTGGCAGGCTCGTTCTGCTCATCCCCCATATGGACATAATTAATCCGTCCCCCTTGGGCTATCTTCCCACGAGTCGATGATGTAATCTTTTTCGAAACGCACTCGCCATTTACGTGATGTCGGGTCGATCGACCCACTCAAATTCTGCATTTCATTTAGACATAAATATGATATTAATTACTGCACAACATGTATTGAATTATTAAATGAATATGTTTTATTTTACTAATCACTAATTTAATGCATTCAAAAAATTTAAATTATTTTTGTTCAACAAAATTTAATTCACTAATTTTACTAAATAAAGCATTTAACATTTATTAAAAAATAATAATTAATAATAATCATATTAATAAAGTACTTCAATTTTTTTTTAATTGAAACCAGGGCAGAACCTGACAGGGGATAGAACCCGATTTATTAAAAATAAAAAGAGGTTACTGAGAGTGGGAATACATGATACAAGAATTTTTATCGAATTCTAAGGTATGGAAATTCCTTTCGATCGAAAGTTAGGAGGCCTCTCGCAGCATGAGGAACGTCCCTCAAATCAAGAAGCATTGAGATGTACCAGAGGAGCTATACTAGCAAGGTTATCAGCTACTGAATTGGCTTCATGAAAGACATGGCTGATGGAGTATTTCAGACTGTGGATCAGGAATTGAATTTCTTGGATGTCTGCTTTGTACCGCCAAGGAGGATCCCCGTTGGATTGTATAAAAACTATTCAAATTATAAACAATAAATCAAACTAAATAAACTATATTTTTTTAAATACCTATAATAACAAAAAATTGAATAACTACTTTTTTGTAACTTAATTATTTATTTAAAACTAGGCTTTCGTTGTCGCGCAAGTTTGTGTATAAATTCTTTTACTTCTTTGTCTGATATCAATATTTTTACTTCATGTTTGGTTGATACTTTGTTATTACGCTTAATAGTGGAGTGTTGTTTTTTCCCCCTTGTTATTTGAACGTTCTTGGCTGAGGAATTGTATTTTGTTCATTTTGTTCTTGCACTCTCACAATTGTTTAATTGCGTATTCATGATTTGTTTTTTTTTTCCAATAAAAAAGGTATGTGTGGCTTGGTGATATTAGTAAGAAGTAAAAGGACTTATTTCCGTTAATAAACAGTGTGCAGCTGTCCTGTTTTTTGGAAACTAATCTTATCATCTTGCTCACAGTTTTATGAACATTTGTGCATTTTTCTTTCATAACTTAGTTTAAGGTGTTTTAACTGAGCCTGTAAAGTGTACATACACATACTGATTTAGTAATTCATTTATTTATTGCTATTTTTGTTTCGTCAAAATCTTGTATGTATGCACAAAACACAACTGTCGTTGTGCTTATAGATTAATACAAGCATATCAATTAGTAAATAATAATGTATATAGTAAAGAAGGGGAATGATTATAATTTGCGAGATGGCTCCACTCTGTTCCATCATGTGTTGTTGTGGGTGGTTTTTGAGCTTTGAATCTTGGAATGAAAAATGGATCTTGTTTTGATGTTTGTCTTGGATTTTGCCGGAATTGGCACATAGACAAATTCTATTTGGAATCTATTTTTTGTACTTCATTGTTTGTCCTGAATGTAGAATTCACAACAACCAAATTTGGAAAACATCAATTCCAAACATATTAGATGTATCAAACGGTTTGAAAATCCTTAACTCGTGGAAAAACAAAAAGTATAGAGGCGAAACATTGCATGAGTGATAAAAAACAGAGCACATATCAAAATAATCGGCACATGTTTGTCCAGAATTTTTGCATTGGGGATTGTTTAGCATACTCCTCCATATTATGAGGAAGTTTGGCTATCTCAGATTGGAACGCAGCAGACTCATAATGGTGATAAAGTCTTTCAGTTTTGTCCCTGAATCACATTAAAGAAAGACATTCAGCATGGGTGACAAAAAAGTATTCTCAAGGAAGAGGTTGCAAAGCAAGCATCAAAAGCCAGGTTGAAACCAGTATTCTGAGAGAATAATTTGAGAAAGTAAGTAAAGAGCACATGAGTTTGAATTAGAATAACTTGGAGTTGCTTCCTGCTAAAATCTAATATCTGAACTACCATGTTTATGAGATAGCCTCCAAAACAGAAATAAGAAGAGAAAGTACAAACCATAATATATTTATAGAGATGTTGTAATACCTTTTCTCGTTCTTCTATATCTCTTATGCAGTAATGCCCAAGAGCTTCTCTCTGATTTCACCTAAGTTCGTAGCCTGCAAGTGACCACTGTGGTCACGCATATTCAACCTTATACGGCACCTAAAATATCGAGGTAGGAATTTAAATCTAATGGTGATAAAGTCCATAATGGAGATTGGAATGCGGCAGACTCCATAATGGTGATAAAGTCTTTGAGTTTTGTCCCTGAATCACATTAAGGAAAGACATTCAGTATGGGTGAGATAGTAAGTAAAGAGCACATGAGTTTGAATTAGAATAACTTGGAGTTGCCGGTTCCTACTAAAATGTAATATCTGAACTACCATGTTTATGAGATAACCTCCTAAATAGAAATAAGAAGAGAAAGTACAAACCATAATATATTCATAGAGATGCTGTAATACCTTTTCTCGTTCCTCTATCATCTCTTATGCAGTAATGCCCAAGAGCTTCTCTCCGATATCGCCTAAGTTCGTAGTCTGCAAGTGACCACTGCGGTCACGCATGTTCAACCTTATATGACACCTAAAATATCGAGGTAGAAATTTAAATCTAATGTGGTATTTGCAACCACAAATTGAAGACTACAAACCAACCGGTACGTAATATATGATTTAAACCAAGCTAAACTCTCTAGGATTTAAACAAAAGCTTGAGGTGAAAACGTAGTGAAACTTGAATTTATCTGAAATCTGTGTACTACGATCTATATATAATCTACCAGGATGAATTTAAGAGTGGTAGCCGCAACACCTTCGCCCAAATGTCCATGCTGCTTTTATTCAAAAACCATATAAGATAGAATAATGGAATCACTAACTATCAAAAGGATCAAGGGAAAAGTTTTTAACAAACAAAAGGAAAATTTTAAGCACATAAACTAAAAGAGAAAAAGCAAAATAAACACCTCTACCACTGAATTTCAGAAACTTTAGACTCGTTAAATCTTACAAAATAGTAAATAAATACCTGAAAAGGTACACAACATAAAATCGACAGAGATTATAATGGCAGGGTAGAATAGAAGCCTAAATTAACATAGAGAAAATATGAATACCAAGTCTTGGAATGGGAATGTCATCCACCAGAATCAAGGCAAGAAATCTCATGCAATGGGGAGCCTAACCAGCTATGGAAAGAGTTTTCTCAGTTGCTCTTCGTGGAACTGAGAACCCATCATGAGTGCTAGTGTCACTTGCAATCAAAGTCTTGCAGAAGAACTCAGTAGCATGTTTGCCAGTCTTTAGCCAAAATCTGGCATGGGGGAGGCATCCTTTTCCTGATCCAAAAGCAAGAGAAGAACTTCATATTACTGAGAACTCAATCACAATATAACAATGATTCAGTGGAATCCTTCAGTTCAGCCAATATAATAATGATTATACAAGTACAAATCTCAGCGCGAAACTTACAGAGTTCATCGGTGCATTTGAGCATAAATCTCATTGGTGTCTTTATCAGCTTGCCACAAACACATCAGGATAACAACCTAATTTATAAATTTATGAAACAAACTAACCCCATTAGTTTACCATCCCTAGTCACAAAGGATCTGATCCTGTTATGAATAATCCACAAGTTCATGGCAATAGAAAGAAAAAGAAATAAAATCTAAAAAGTTACACCACATAGTCTATCAAAGAACTCTTCAAACTGTCATGTACATGAATAATATGCAGTTGATGTGAACAAACATTAACCAATGGGCAAAACAATACACCCATTAAGCAACTACAAGAGTGCAAGGTGCAGTATCGGATAATCATTATTTTTTGGCAATTTCTAGTCTTATCTAAACACTACAATTGAATTACCTCCAGCACAATACCACGCACCACTCGCCATCTCCATGGTCTCGGTCGATAACGACATCGCCGGTGCAACCGACTCTGGCATAATCGAAATCTTTGGGGATCGTCGAAAATCCAAAGGGAAGTAAAATCAACTGTAGAGAGAGTTTGGGGTGGTTCTATTTGCGGGGATTGCTGGTGTTTTTATAGACCGGTTGCCGACTTTGAATTGTAATCCGATTGGAAGTCTGAAATCATGGGACGATTTGGAATTGGAAATTTTTTTTTCTGGTGATTTCCTAATCCTATTTGAAGAGGAAAATCGGAAATTGTTTCTTGTGGGGCCAAAATAAATCCACGGCCCAAGGCCATGGTGTCGATGGAAACGCCGCCGGCTGGTCACGGTGGAAACGAGGCGATTGACTGATTTCCAACTGAGGGTGGCAGAAAAAAAAATCGGGAAAGAGGTAATTCTGAGAACGACGAGGGGAGGGAGGGTTTTTTGGTTTAGAGATGAAGGCACGACGTCGTTTGGGTGGAGTTTTGGGGGGAGGGGGGGAAATTAGGCAGAGGAAGGGGACAACGTTGTTTTCTTCATTGGGGGGTTTGCTTTTTATCCTTAAAAATTAACGTTTGTTTATTGGGGGTTTTTTCTTATTACCCTCAAAAATATGGTTGCTTATACACAGAATTTATGAAATTTCATTTTTGCCCCTAATAAGTGATTTAATACCGATCGTCGGATTGAACCCATCTGACAGACGAAATCGCTTTGAAGGTGGCCTTGAATATTTCTTGAGCATTATTTCTTGCCTACTGTGACTTTTATTTAAGTATAAGGATTAATAAATTTACTAATCTTCTTTGGTAATTTACTATTCATATTAATCAACACTAATTACACCCACTAAAACTATTGATTAACTTAACTATTATTTTCTACAAAAAGTATCTCATTCAATAAATTTTAATTCACTAATTTTGCTAATCAATCAAAGCCTACCTTAATTTTTTTTAAAGCAAAAGAAAAGAGAACCATTAAAATATCAATAGAAAGACACAATACACTAGGAGGATATACCTCAAAGATGAATGTTGTAACCCTCCTACACATAGTCAGTTGATTCCTGATTTATTAATGATGAACAAAACAGAATGGCAGTGCTTAAGACTTACCACATACGTGATAATGCTGTGACTTCATAAAAAATAAAACTATGCTATTACAGAGGTAACCCACATGATCCAAACTCCTTACTATAGAATAAACTCATTAAGGATGCTGGAAATGATCATGGAAGCCTCCTACTCTTAGGATCGCACCACCTTACTAATGAGCTTATCTACAAGGACGCTAGTTAAAAATCAGTGACATCATGCTCACTCCACCTTACTGATGAAACTCTCATCAAGGACGCTGGTGGAAAGCATGATGAACCATTATAATCTATCTAGATCTTACATAAGGAAAGGACTGCTGATCCAAGATCAATAGCCCTTTTGAGGAAGCCGAGAGATTGCAAAAATCCAGAAAGATTTCTGATTGACCCAAAGAATCTGTTCTTGCAAGAACTGTCTGCTAATGTATTAACTTCTTTGTAAATATGAGTGACAGTATAATCCCATCTAACTTTAATTGCCCTAATCTCTTGCGGCACAATAAAATATTTCCAAGGTAAAGACCCTCTGGAATTTAGAAGATCTCCAAGAACCTTATTATGAGTCTGAATGTCAACTTTCTGAAGACCCAAAAAATCACATTTACTGACCCCAAATAAGATATCATAAACTTCTGCCATCAAGCTATTTCCTTTACCTATATATCCAGTTTCATCATATAAATTCTTGCCTTTATCTCCACTAATCAAAAAATCATACCCAGAATCAAAAGCCACTCCACTCGATGATCCATCATAATTCAAAATGAAAGCATTAGATTCAGACAGCTTCCAAGCAAATCAATTTCAAAACGTGAGGCTTCACCTTGAATTTTAAGGATGGCAAAATGGTTTCCATGAAAATTTTCTCCGCTGAATGTCGAGCTATGATGTTGTTAATGAAAAATACTCTTGCATGACAGAATTCACAATCATCTGAAAAGGAATTAGAACACCTCAAACAAATTCTTGTTTTTGGCTTTCCATACTTCCCAAATAACAAAAATGGGAATAATTTTCATCAAAACCTGCTTTGTCGCTGCGAAATTGCCCCACAACCACCAAACAGTCAAGAACGGCCACAGTGTATCCAAGGCTGGAATTGTAGTATTCAGCATGCTAGCAAAGAATGCCCAAAGCTGTCGCACTTCCGGACAAGTGACAAAGTGGTGATTGATTGTATCTTCACTTGATTTAGATTTATAACATCTTGATGGAAAGGAATAGATCCCAAGATCACTAAGAACCTCCGGGAATGGTAGCAATTTATTCCTTAATTTCCACATAAAAATAAATTCGGAGGGGAACAATTTTATGCCAAATATTAACAAGACTTACATCTTTGCCCCCCTTAACTCGCAAGGCCTCATATGTTGTTTTAAGTGTGAAAATGCCAATTGGAAAGGGTTGCCAAATGATCAGATCTTGTCCAGGAGAGAAGTGGAGTTCAAGAGTCATCAATTCCGCAGATGTTGCCATAGAAAGTTTGGAATTTATCATTTCCAAGTAAGCCTCCTTGTTCTTAAAGAAATTCCGGATGCTTAGGTCTGGAAAAGGAGGAACTTCATGTGGAATATCCCAAATGACTCCCAAGTTAGACCAATTATCATGCCAAAAGCTTCAATAGCCTCCTTGCACAAGCACTTTGGAGAGATTGGCTACTACTAAATCAATCTTTTGGATCCGTTGCCATGATTGTTTCTTTCCCTTGCCGAATTAGAAAGAGACAAAAGAAAGAGAGCCCAGAGACCTTTTCTTTTTGCTTAAGTTTCCACAAGAGTTTTGTTAAAAAGGAGGCCATCATCATATCTTTAAACTTCCGGATGCCTACACCATTCTCATCCACCGGATATGTCAATCTGCTCCATGATCTCCAATGACATTTTACCTCATCTCCCGCACCTCTCCATAGAAATCACTGACATTTTTTTTTCCAACTCATCCATGATTGATTTGGGGGGCTCGATTGCGGCATAAATATGAATGGGAATTGCCGCAAGTACATGTTTTATTAGCAAAAGTTTCTACCTTGGCTAAGTATTTTATTTTTCCAATTTAGCAACTTTGCATCAATTTTATCCAGGAGAAATTAAAAATTAGATGCTTTCTTGCGACCACAGAGTAACCTGCATCCAAGATACACAAAAGGAAAAGTACCTCTCTGCATTCCTAAAATGGATTTGATCATCAAGACGCTATTTGCACTACATTCTTCTTTCACATAAAATTGACTTTTTTGGTGGCTGAGCTTTTGAACAGAAGGTACCTCGTACTCTAATTACAAATACAAATAACAATTTATTTAATAACTAACTTATTTGATAACTAACTTATGTAATATAACTAAGTTAATTTCATAATAACAATTAAGTATAACATTAAAAATATTATATAATAAAACAATATTCTGGGAAAAATGAAAAAATTTATTCAAAAAATTTTTTAAAAAATAAAATAAAAAAATTCACTGGCCGCCACTGTAAGAGCGACCCAACCGGCCGTTTTTTTCCTCGCCGGCCGTTGAAAATACCGTCCGGCGAGGCCACAGCGGCTGGGTTTGCCGGCCTTCACAAATCCAGATGGCACAAAGGCTGTCTGGATTAAATTCGGACGGTATCTCTACCTTCCGAATTCCTTTAGGTAGGTACCTCCCCCATCTCGCCCCTTTTCATACGGCAATTCGGCCGGCTGGCCTATTTTAGATCTGCCGGCCGGCCCAATTTCTAGGAATATTTTTTAAAAAACTTACACATTTTCAAGAAGAATCGAAGAAAACTTACCCGGTTCTTTGGTTGTTTCTCGCTACGGTGTTCTCCTCCCGCCATCGATTTGTCTTTCAATACACTCTTGGGTTTAGATTTGAGGGAATTTGAGATTTGGAAGTTTGAAATTTGGAAAGTGTATAAGTTATATTTGGAATGCATTGTAAATATAATCTGAGGGCAAAATTGTCTATTCAATAAATTTTATTGGCAGCCTATAAGCACTTTTCTAACAGACTATAAACCTCCAGTTTTTTTGATGTGCAACCTATGCGACAAAACCCTTCATTTTTGGAACTTGATTTTCAAAAAGTTTTTTTTAATTTTCAAATGATTTTATTTCTTAATCCGTAAAGAATTATACCTAGTCTCTTATATCCATTTTTATAGTACTTGATTATATCTATCCAACAAGATCCATCATAAATATGTTTCTGGAATTTTAAAAGCTCATACAGTTGATTGGTCTTCCGAATAGACATTCTGCTCTTACTTGTGTCTTTTAGAACCAAAACCTAGAGCAAAGACCAAAAACCGTAGACCAAAGAGCAAAGAACAAAGACCAAAGACCAAGTGAAGAGCGAGCGTATGTGAGGACCAAAGACCAAAGACCAAAAGCCAAAAACCAAAAATCGAAGGCCAAAGAGCAAATAACAAAGACCAGAGTGAAGAACAAGCATATGTGAGGACCAAAGACCAAATACCAAAAGCCAACAAAAAAATCGAAGACCAAATAGCAAAGAGCAAATACTAAAGGCTAAAGTAAAAAAAGTGAGCATTAGTGAGGAGCAAAGACCAATGACCAAAGACCGAAGACCAAAGAGTAAAGAACAAAGACCAAAGACCAAAGACCTAAGACCAAATGCCAAAGTGAAAAGCGAGCATGTGTAAGGAGCAAAGATAAAAGACCAAAGACCAAACACTAAAAACTGAAGAGCAAAGAGTAAAGACCAAAGATAAAAGACCAGAGTAAAGAGCGAGCGTGTGTGAGGAGCAATGACCAATGACCAAACGCCAAAGATAAAAAATCGAAGACCAAGGACCAAAGATAAGAGTGAGGAGCAAAGACCAAAAACCAAAGGCTAAAGACCAAAAACCGAAGACAAAAGCGCAAAGACCAAAGACCAAAGTGAAGCGAACGTGTGTAAGGAGCAAAGACCAAAGACCAAAGGCCAAAGACCAAAAAC